AAGCCGGACCGCAACAGCCGCACCACGGCACGGCTCGGCGCCGCTCCTCTATCCCATGTCATGTTGTCGTCTGCCACGCGTTTGATAACTGCCACCTTCGTCCGTGCGTGCATACGTGACGCGCCCTTACGCGTCTTCTCTCGCGGACGATCTTGCCAACAATTTCCGGTGACGCGTATTTTCGCTTCATCCGATCAATTGTTACTCGCGTTTCATCTTTTTCCTTTCCGACCTGCCGAATCGGTACTATTTTACAATAATGAATGAATCGGAGTAGTAACGTTGATCGATTGATGGTATCGAGTTTTGTTAATTTACAAGTGAATCTGACGTGAAGGAGGTGAACTATTTGAGATAGTGTCCAATGGAGACCGCGAAGAAGACCGGTTGATCCACGTGGGTCGCCATGGAATCGTCATGATCGAAATCGTTTGGAATATACTACGTGGGGTACATAAGTATAATGTGATATGCATTTTCTAGTTGTATTGTTGTCAATCAATCATTTTATGTATTCTTATTCATTCGTTATTATGTTTTATATACTATAGATTTTATATTAGATTTATTATCGTATATTTCATAGGTTTTGTATATATCTTAGATGAAAATAATGTGATATTTTTATTTGAATATATATGATGTAATTACAAGAGAGAGATTTAACAAATATTTTCAGAAGCTATATGAAAAAGAACTTTAAATAATATTTGATCTTTCTTAATAACAATAATCAAACTTTCACATAAATATTTGTGTACACTATGATGACAATACAATCTTCGTATTTTGTATCAGTGATTCACATTAATTATTATGATGCATTTATTAGACTAAAGAAGAGTACGAATTCTTAGTTCGCATGCAAAGTTTGGATTAAAATCTCTAATCATCATTATCCATTTTTATCTTGTCTAAAAATTTTTGTATGTCTTTCTCTCGTTCAATTACATAATCTGATGAGTAAACTATATATATATATATATATATATACAATATATATATAAAGTCTGTAAGATTGAATTGAATGGATTATACATAGCTCGAAATAATGCTTTTCATTTTTATCAAAAATTTAAATGCGCGCTCATTATGACTTGCTTTACTCGCTCGTTGTAAGTTCGCTCATTCATTTATATCATTTGACATTACTGTCAAATGTCTCTTTTGTGCATATACTTATATAAAAGGCTCTTTTGTCAATTGATATGCCGTGACGTAAATTCGAAATTTTCCAACTCCCGTACTGATATCGAGTGGACATCTTTCAGTTTCTCTGTCACCTTTTGAAACTGCATTTACTTTATTATAGATAAAAAATAGGTGTCTAAGTATTTTATAGAAAAGAGGAACAAACGCTTTGCGCTAAGGTATACCTATGTCTGCCTACATATTCTCCACCCACGATCTCATTTGAATTTTCATTAACGTCATCGTAATTTTCTCCACGAGATCTCTTTTACTTTGCGTAAATGCTGTCGCGTGTCATTTACTATCTACACATAAGTATTCTGAAGCATAAATAATTAATTGATTCTGCTAGTTGTTTTTTCTAATTTTTCGAAAATATCTCTGCCCTTCTCACGTAAACAAAAATGCTTTGTCAATGCTTTGTCTCGATAACGTCGTAACTTAGGGTAATTTACTTAGATAAGTAACTTAGATAAGATAAACTTCTGACAGAACTATTAATTTAATCAGATAGGTTTAATTTTTTTCTTATTAACAGAAAATTAAATTATTCCTCGATATTCTTTTCAAGATATTACCGCGAATGAAAATAAATTTTTACTTTAATTGTCAAGTCAATGTGAATATTCTATCTTTTGCATTCACATTGCAAATACATCAAATATAGAAATTATCTAAAATTCTTTCTAATCAATACGACATAGTATTGAAATAATATATGTAAATCTATGAATTAGTAATGAAGAAGATAAAAAGTTTCAAATCAGAATAAGACTGAAAATTTATTCTATAACATACTGGGGTTATTAGAGTAGATGTACCTATTCTACAATATTCAGGCAATTTATTTATTAACTAATCTAGATTTAACCAAAATATTTGTTATTCAAGAAAGTACAAATATTTTCTTTGAAATACAACTCTGTATATGTATAAGAAATTAAAACTTTTCCATTACTTTCTTGTGTCGAAATTTTATTACGATATCTGCAGAAAAAAAAGGATTAAAAAAAACGCATTATATGTCATAAATCTATGACAAATAGATTCAATGAACACAATATTATACAAAAGGCTTAATTTTTTTTCTTAAATATTTGTTTTGAAATTTGTTTAAAAGTTTCGTAATAACTCTTATTATTGTCGAACTTATATCAATTCTAACAAAGCGTCGAAAATAAAAATGCTTATCGAGATTTTATTCCTTTTCTAAAGATATTTATTCTTCAGATTCTAACATCTCTCTCTCTAAACTCGCTGCAGTTATTAATATTGAATAAATTCGCGCGCGCGCGCGGAAGAAAATAATAAATATTATAACTATAATATTATAACTATATAAT